CCCCGCCTGTCCGCTGCCCTCCCTCCGAGCGCTCTTCCGGCCGCCCCTGAGGAAAGCCACGCGCTCCGTCTCCGATCCTGTCTTCAGCCGCCATGGTCCACCTGCGCGCCTGCGAGGTCCGGCAGCTGCTGCACAACAAGTTCGTGGTGGTCATGGGCGACTCGGTCCAGAGGGCCGTGTACAAGGACCTGGTGCTCCTGCTGCAGAAGGACCGCCTGCTGTCGTCCAGCCAGCTGAATGCCCATGGCGAGCCCAGTTTCGAGCAGGACGTGCTGCTGGAGGGCGGCCGGCGGCGCCGCACGCACCATGGCTCCCACTACCGCGAGGTCCGCCAGTTCTGCTCGGGCCACCACCTGGTGCGTTTCTACTTCCTCACGCGCGTGTACTCCAACTACCTCGCGGAGATCCTCGGGGAGCTGCGGCGGGGCGAGCACCCCCCGGACTTAGTCATCATGAACTCCTGCATCTGGGACCTCGCGAGGTACGGCTTCCACAGAGGCTACCGCGAGAACCTGCAGAGGCTGTTCAGCCTCCTGGACCGGGTGCTGCCCGTGTCCTGCCTCCTGGTGTGGAACACGGCCATGCCGGTGGCCGAGGTCGTCTCCGACAGCTTCCTGCCGGCCGAGCACCAGCTGCAGTGCTCCCGCCTGTGGGAAGACATGCTGGAGGCCAACTTCTACGGCGCGGCCGAGGCCAGCAGGCACGGCTTCGACGTGCTGGACCTCCACTTCCACTTCCGGCACGCGGAGCAGCACCGGCAGCGCGACGGCGTGCACTGGGACGAGCGCGCGCACCGCCACCTCTCCCAGCTGCTCCTGGCACACGTGGCGGACGCCTGGGGCGTGGACCTCCCGCGCCGCCACCCGGCGGGCAGGCGGGTCAGGGATGCCCGCGCCCGTGAGAGTCGACGCCCGGCAGAGGGTAGGCAGCCCAGGGACCACAGAGGTGACCCGGACGAGCAGGCCTTGCCTTCGTCTCCGCCCACGTCCACGAGCTACCGCAACTCGCGGCGACCATCTGCGCCGTACCCCCAGGACCAACCTTTGTGTCCGAACTACAGACAGGGCGTCCATGTGCCCTCGCACTCACCGGTCCAGCACCGGCAGTTCTCCAGGCACTCTCCACCGCGCCACGTGCGATATCGCGAAGCGAACGTGAGGACTGGCCCCGAGCCGCATCCGGACTCCGTCCGCAGACCCGCTACCCAGCACCGAAGCAGAGGGAACCCTCCGTACCCTCCCCGGAGCCCCAACAGGCCACGCAGACACCGGCGAAGGCACACAGACAGACAGACCCACGAGTGGCAAGGCCTCAGGAGCCAGACCTAACACCTAAGGCGCCCTCCCAGCAGGGTCAGTAGGCTGGACAGGCTGGACAGACTGCCCGACCTGTCTCACTCAGGCCTAGTCTTCAGCAACCCTGCCATGGTAAGGACTCCTTAGGCGTCTTGCTCTCACCAGTGCACAGTCGCGTGCATTCTTTGTTGCTGAGCCTCCACCCCAGGGGGCTAGAGCTCAGACCACCACGCCATTGTCCTCTTAGCTTTTATACAGAAATAAACTCTTAAGTGAAGAAAATACACAAGGTTAAGTCTTACCTGAATAGAAGCCTTCGGACAGGATTCTCCGTAGACATTCTTCCTTAAAAATAGATAAATAATAATTTTGATCCTTAAAACTTATCAAAACATTTCTGTTACGACTTCAATATCACCATTAGGTTTTGCGTACATTTGTAGAACGTCATCCTCAAAGCTTTCACCATAAGTTGCAGGTTCTTTTTAAGTGTATTTGTGTGACAACATATCATTTATCCTTAAAAAATTATTCTATTCACTAAGATTTTTTTCCTGTTAGAAACAAAAATCTCTACTCTCATCAAATGCCTCGCATATTTTGAAAAATAGACTTTATTAAGTACAATTTTGGATTTACGGCAAATTTGAGAGACCCTCGCTGTCAACATCCTACAGGAAGATGGTGCATTTGTTACTTCCAATGACACTACGATGTTATATCATTACCACCTAAAGTTTATTTTTTACATTAGAGTTCATTCTTGGTGTGTGCTATGGGTTTTGATGGATGTATAATGATTTATATCTGTCATTATAGTGTATAGAATAGTTTCACTGCCATGAAATTCCTCTCTGCTCCTTGTTGTCATCCATCCCTTACCGAAACCCTAGCAACCACCTAATCATAACTGTTAGTTTTGGTTAACTGTCTCCATTGTTTGCTTTTTCTAGAATGTCATATGGTTGGAACGATACAATAAGTAGGCTTTTCAGATTGTAGACTTCTTTCACTTAATAATGTGCATTTAAGGTTCTTCCATGTCTTTTCATAGCTTGATAACTTATTTCTTTTTAGTGCTGAATACTATTCCATTGTTTTTATGTACCACTGTTTATGCATTCACCTACTGAGGGACATCTTAGTTGCTTCCAGGTTTTGGTAATTATGAATAAAGCTGCTTTAAACATTCACGTCAGGTTTTTGTGTGTTTTCAGCTTTGGGCAAATACCAAGAAATGTGATTGCTGGATTGTATGGCAAAACTAACTATGTTGGTTTTGTAAGAAACTTACAAAAACTATCTCCCAAAATGACTGCACCATTGTTTCATTCCAGTCAGTAATGAATGCAAGTTCCTGTTGCTCCACATTCAGATTTGGTGTTGTCAGTGTTTTGGATTTTCACCATCCTTATCGGTATGTGGTGGTATCTCATTGTTAAATCTTCAGTTCCCTAATGACATAGGATATTGAGCATCTTTTCATATGCTTATTTGCCAACTGTATATCTCCTTGGGTGAGGTGCCTGTTAAGATCTTTTGCCTATTTTTCATTAGTTGTTTGATTTCTTATTGTTGATTCTTAGGGGCTCATTGCATATTTTGGATAACAGTATTTTATCAGATATACCTTTTAGAGATATTTTTTTCTTAGTCTGTGGTTTTCTTCTTGGTTTCTTGACAGTGTCTTTTGCAGAGCATAAATTTTCAATTTTAGTGAAGTCCAGTTTATCAGTAGTTTCTTTCATGAATCAGGCCGTTTATGGTGTATCTAAAAAGTTATCACCAAACCCAAGATCTTCTAGATTTTCTCCTGTGTTATCTTCTAGGAGTTTTTTAGTTTTTCATTTTTCATTTAGGTTCATGATCCATTTTGAGCTACTATTTGTAGAACGGTGTAAAGTCAGTCTGGATTCAACTTTTTGCATGTAATGTCCAGTTGTTCTAGCACCATTTGTTGCCTGAAGTGGGATAATGTCAGTTCTCTAATTTTGATGTTCGTGTATTTACCATGTATCATGCAACCTCAATGTAATCGCTTATTGGTGCCGGAAGTATTTTTGTTGATTCTCTCAGATTTTCTAAACAGACAGTCATGTCATCTGCTAACAAGTAAAGTTTTATTTCTTTTTGCCCAATCTGTATACCTTTTATTTTCTTTATTGGTCTTACTGTATTAGCTAGGGCTTCTGGTATAATGTTGAAAAGGAATGGTGAGAGGGGATATCCTTGCTTCCCTCCTGAACTTAGTGAGAAAGTTTATAGTTTTTTACTGTTAAGGAAATGTTAATCATAGGTTTTTGCTTATGTTTTTTAACCAGGTTAAGGATGTTCCCTTCAGTTTATGGTTTACTAAGTTTTTATCATAGATGGTGGTTGGTATGAGTATGTGTTGTTTCTTCTATAGTTTGTTGATGTGATGGATTACATTAATTTGATTTTCAGATGTGAACCCGCTTTGCCTATCTGACATAAATCCCACTTGGTCATGGTGCATAATTTTTTATACATCTTTGGATTTGATTTGCTAATATTCTTTTCTGGATTATTGCATCTATGTTCTTGAAAGATATTAGTCTGTAATTTTATTTTCTCGTAATGTTTTTCTCTGGTGTTGATATTAGAGTATACTGGCTTTATAGAATGAATTAGGAATTATTCCCTCTGTTTTTATTTTCCAGAAAAAATTACAGACAATTTGGTATACTTTGGTAGCATTCAACAGTGAACCCATTTGGGCCTGGTGCTTTGTGTTTTGGAAGGTTATTAATTATTGATTCAATTTCTTTAATAAATATAAGCTTATTGAGATTGTTTCTTCTTGTATCAGTTTTGGCAGATTGTGTCTTTCAAGGACTTGGTCCACTTTATCTAGATTAAAAAAATTGTGGGCAGGGTTGTTGATGTTCTTTAATTCTTATTATTTTCTTAATGTCCATAAGATCTACAGTGATGTCCCCGCTTTCATTTTTGATATTAGTAATTTGTGTCCTCTCTCTTCTTAGTTTTCCTGGCTATTATTGATAATTTTCGAAGAACCAGCTTTTGGTTTTATTGATTTTTCTCCATGGATTCTGTATTCAATTTCTTTGTTTTCTGCTTTAATTTTTATTATTTATTTTCTGTGCTTTAAATTTAATCTATTTTTCTTTTTCTAGGTCTCTAATGTGTAAGCTTAGATTATTGAATTAAAACCACAAAAGGTGGGAAAAGAGTAAAAGACAAAATACAGGTTTTAATTGAGCATTTGTGTGATTCTATTTTTCTCCTTAGCATAGCAGTTACTGTTTGGGGGTTCTTTTGTTTGTTTTGTTTTCTGTTTTTTTTTAAGTTGCTGCTCTAGAGTTTTCAGTATACATTACAGCTTATCCAAGTTTATTTTGAAATAACACTATACTACCTCATTGTTAAAGCAAGGTTATCCGTATGTTACACGTTGTTGCCATTATTATTATGAACCAATGTTATATATGTTCAATCAATTATTAATAAAAAATAAAAGTTTTTATTTTACTTTAACATATTCCTTGTGTAAGACTCTTCTTTATATATGAAGTTTCTGACATATCATTTCCCTTTCTCTGAAAAACTTTAAAATTTCTTGCAAAGTAAAGCTAGTAGTAACAAATTCCCTCAATTTTTGTTTGAGAAAGTATGTCTCCTTCACTTTGAAGGAAAATTGTAGAGTACAGAATTCTAGGTTAGTGTTTGTTTTTCCTGTTGACTCTATATATTTCACTGTACCCTCTTCTTGTTTGCGTGATTTCTGAGAAGTTTGATGTAATTCGTATCCTTGTTCTTCTATAGATAAGGTGTTTCCTCTGGTTTCTTTCAAGATTTTTTTGTCTTTGATTTTATGGAGTTTATATATGATATGCCTTGATGTAGTTTTTTTGTTTTTGTTTTTGTTTTGTTTTTTTACATTTATCTTACTTGATGTTCTCTGAGCTTACTGAATCTGTGGTTTAGTGTCTGACATTAATTTAAGGAAAATCTCAATATTTATTGCTTCAAAAAATGTTTTGTTGTTTCTTTTGCTCTTCTCTGGTATTCCCATTCTGCCTACACTAAACTTCTGCATTTGTCCCACAGTTCTTGGATAGTCTGTTACATTTTTTCAGACTTTATTCTCTTTGCTTTTTAGCTCTGGAATTTCTATTGATATATCCTTAAACTCACTGATTCTTTCCTCAGCTGTGTCAGTCTACTTATGAGACCATCAAAGACAGTCTTTATTTCTGTTACAACATTTTTCATTTCTACAATTCTTTTTTATTCTTTTGTAGAATTTCCGTCTCTATGCTTATATTACCCATGTATTCTTGCATGTTGTCCGCTTTTTCCTTTGGAGCCCTTAGCATATTAATCACAGTTGTTTTAAATTCCAACATCCCTGCTATCTCTCTCATCTTGATGCTTGCTCTGTGTCTTTAAACTGATTTTTTACTTTTAGTATGCATTGTAATTTTTTTGTTGAAAGACATGATATATCAGGTAAAAGGAACTGTGATAAATAAGCCTTTAGTGATACGGGTGGGGGGTGGGGAGAGGAAGCATTCTATAGTCCTATAATTAGATCTCAGTCTTTTAGTGAACCTGAGCTGCTGGACTGTGACCTTCATAAATGCTTTGCATTCCATTGCCACCTTAGATGGATGGGACAGGATGACTAGAGGGGGCTAGAGTTGGATATTTCCCTTCTACAAAGTGGCTTAGGCTCTGAAAAATCTCAGATTAGACTCTGATAAAACATTTTCTCATGAGGGCAGGCTTTGTTATAGACAGAGTGCTCCAACATATTTCAGTGTTGCTACTTTTCGTGCCCCCCTCCCAGAATCATGAGAAAATTTTTCTCTCATCTTCACTGTGAGAACCTGGTAGGGCTCCTGGAGATAAAACTCACACAAGTAAGTGGAAGGCTCCCCTAGAGTTTCTTGCTTTCGGATTTGTCCATACAGAGCTCCCAGCAAATTTTCAATTACAATTTAGGTTTTTCTACCTTAGTACTGGTTCCCACAAAGGTTCTGCTTGTG